GCTTGTTTAAATATCAAGGATTCTAGTATAAAAGTAAAGGACATAGTCTCAAAGGATACTCTTGTTTAGTTTCTGGACTTACGGGATTTGCTATAAACATTTTTCCATTAAGTAATATGTAACTATTTAGAACAAAGTGAATATTCCTTATAGGCTTTGAAGGTATCTCTCAAATCTGAATTTTCATTAGAAACAGGTCCTAATTCTATTAGATATACTCTTTTTTTGGAAATTGATATGACAACTTTTAATTACTTCATCTACTATAACTTACCATAATTAAAAGTTTTTATTTTATTAAACCAGCTGAATTCTTGCCAATAACAATGAATAATCGTTTTAATTTACTACTGAGTTTCCTCTAACCTTTCTCCCGTCAATAACTGAGATTGTCTTGTGATTTTCTTTTTTGTGTGTTATCAGGAAAGAATCCTATTACTCAATAAGGCTGCTTCTGAATTTCAAGAAAACTTTCTACAAGGGCATCATTACCCTTTGAAACTTTGAAAACAACCAGCTGTAAACTATGAGTTTCAGGTGGTGTTTGGGATTGGGGGATATTCTTGGACAATTCTCTGAATGTCCTCTGTTCTTTGGTCTTCAATTCTTCCTTATGCCGCCCCCCCCACCTTTCTTACAAGAAGTAGCTAATTATTTTAGTGAGCAGATTTATTCCTATACAGGAATAAACTGACATTCCTTAATAATCTTTTTTCTCTCTCTTATGCATTGGTTAATACTAATCTCCTTTCTCATTTCTAATTTTGTTCATTTGTACTTTTCATTTTTTTCATCAAATTTATATTGGTTTATCAATATTCAAAGAAAAACTGATCAATTTTATTTATAAATTGTATTGAAATTTCATTTGCCAGTTTTAAAAAAAATTTCGATTCCTTTCTTTTTGTTTTATTTCATAGCTTTTGTAGAATTTTTTTAAAGTACAGTTAAGTTAGTTAATTTTCATGTTTGTTTTCCATTTAAACAAATGTTTCTGAAACAATACATTCTCGTTTAACGAGACTACTCTCTGGCTGCAGTCCAAAGATTCTAATAGGTAGCATCTTGTTCATCATCATTACCTTAAAAAGGAAAAATGCTCTTATTATGTTTCTTAATTCTTCCTAGCACTATTATTATCAGAGTAACATTTAGAATTTTCCAAATGGCTAGAGGTTTTTGCCTGTGTTTTGCTTCTATTTTTCTTATTTAATTCTATTTTCATTGCCACGTGGTATGGAAATGCTCTCCCTCTTTGAGGGAACATACTGAATGCTTGTGCACAGGACACCTGGAGAACTCTCACCCACAATAATACCATACATGTTATGTTCTGCGTACCAATAGTTTAAATATATTTAAGCAACCACGACTGGGGCAGATTAATCCGGTACTATACCGCTCTTGAATGGTATCGTAAAATCTAAATTTTTAAACTTATATGTCCAGTGTCAATTTTAGCTCCTAAACAAAGGGGAATACACATATGCCAAAGCATGGAACATAAACTAGGTAGATCGATGGGGGAGAGGTATGTGTGCTCGGGGTCAACTACACTACTGGATTTTATGACGCGCATGGTACCTCAATCCAAAAGGCAGGTACATTCCCTGTTTTCTTTTTTTTTTTTTTTTTAAAGATTTTATTTATTTTATTTTTTCCCCCCAAAGCCCCAGTGGATAGTTGTATGTCGTAGCTGCACATCCTTCTAGTTGCTGTATGTGGGACTCGGCCTCAGGATGAACGGAGAAGTGGTGCCTCGATGCGCACCCGGGATCCGAACCCGGGCCACCAGCATCGCAGCGCGCGCACTTAACCACCAAGCCACAGGGCCGGCCCACATTCCCTGTTTTCTTAAAGCCTGTTTTCAGACGTGGTGACTGCTTATGTCCCAGCATGGGCACAGCATTATTCCAGAGGGGTCTGAGCTCAGTAAGGCATCTTGAACTGCTTTTATTAGTGTGTAATAATTAAATAGGCACATGGAGATTTTTTGGACCATCCTGTCTTTATGATGTTTACTCTAGCTCAGAAACAAGTTTGAGAACTGGTACAAAAAGATCAAGTCACAAGCAGGGGCAACTGGGTTATCTAGGTGAAGACATTTCTCTTTAAAGTGCTAAAGTGACTGATCACACCCAGTCACCACCATGCCAACTCTGTCAGAGTGGAGCCAACACTGATACAAGAGCCTCTGATTAGCCAAAGGTCTGGAGTTGCAAATTCTTGCATTTTCCTGAGCTGACTATCACCTCAAGGTGGTATGCTACCCTATGGAATAGCACTGAAAATTATTGAAATTTTTAACATGACATCAACTCTTTTCATATTTTCTATAAACGTTTGGAAACTTCAGAAAGGTCAGATAACCAAAGTCTCCTCTGGCAAATAGAGCCCTACATTCTTTCTGTTAAACTTAGGTACCCATGCACCTGAGGCACTAGTTAGCTGGAATTTCCACGTCATGTTTTCTCCTTTGTCTGGGGGTACCAACTCCCACCTAGACTCTAACTTCAGCTCAGAAATACTCTCTGCTGAACAGAACTGCAGAACTGGAGGTTTAGGACTAGAAGAAGTCTTACAGGTTCTTTGGCAAAGGTCTTCATTTTATAGACGAAGACTGAAACCCAACACAATTAAGCATGTACCACAGAGCATTACTGTCGAACATTCAGTGTTGGCACAAAGTGTGTAGGTCATGTTAGATAAGTTACTGGTCCAGAGGCCCACAGCCCAGCAGCAGACCTGCGGTTATGACCAGAACTTCTGGACTGATAATTCAGTCACTGCTGCCTGTGCCATTTTGCTGTCTACTTCAGAGGGCAAAAACTATGTGAAGAGTTGGGACAGCTCAGGGCTGCAAAGCACCATGTTTATTTAATACCTACTTTCTCCTCAGCACTATCTCTTCTCATTTGGTTATCTTGCTATGTGCTTGATAAATAAAGATAAATAAAACAGGCAGCTTCCCCTTGAGAAACTCATCACCTAACAAGAAGAGACAGACATGTGAATAAAGCAGAATTCAGTGTGGTGAGTACTATGCAAATATTTATGCAGCAGGGGAACACTGCAGAGGACAGAATAGATGTTCTCAGGTTCTCTTGGGGGCAATAAGAGAATACAGTGTGTAAAGAACATGCCACCGGGGCCGGCCCAGTGGCGCAAGCGGTTAAGTGAACGCTCTCCGCTGCGGTGGCCCGGGGTTCGCCGGTTCGGATCCCGGCACACACTGATGCACTGCTTGGCAAGCCATGCTGTGGCGGCGGCCCATATAAAGTGGAGGAAGATGGGCATGGATGTTAGCCCAGGGCAAGTCTTCCTCAGCAAAAAGAGGAGGATTGACAGATGTTAGCTCAGGGCCGATCTTCCTCACACACACAAAAAAAGAACATGCCAGAGAAAACGCGGTTACTTTCTGCCCGGGCTGCTCTGGACGGAAGTAAAGACAGTATTCTTGCCCTTGGTGCTAGGTCCCATTTAAGCCAGTGTCGGGAGCATAAGCAAGAACTGGGCCGTGGGCCTGGAGTTTTTACAATATATAACCCACTCTGGTAACATCAAAGAATGAAGGCTGCACTACAAAGCAGACAGGGGCATTCTGAAGTTTCCACAAGGAACAAGTACTTTGTGAAGCAGCGAACCCAAGAGCAGGCTCATTCCTATTAAGGGAGCAGAAAGAGCCGTTCATTTTACAGAATTTCCTCCCAACAGAGTTTCCCTCCACCACCTACTGGAGCTAACTGTCCCTGTGTCTGAATTAACCTGAGAGCAGCGTTCACCCCTCACCTCCCAGGCTCAGGACCAGAGGCCCCCACACCAACTGACTGGAGCAAATCCACCGCAGGCCTCTCTCTCTAGCAGGGAAGCTGGTTAGCGCGAGGGGCCGAGGGGCCGTGAAGGCAGAAACCTCCACATCTCCAGCAGCCCGACTTCAAAGCGCACCTGCCACTCCTGGGACAGGAATCTGACTTCCTTTCCTGAAGCCTGAATCACAGGCGATGGGGGACGAGCTACCAGAGACTGAGAAGGTGAGTAAAAGGGGGAGTCAGAGAGAGGGGAAGGGCTGCTCAGCGGGCTGCGGCGCCTCCCTGTTGGAACTGTAGTGACCATGCCACTCCCCTGGGATGCTGTGGCCCAGATGCACAGGAGATTCTCAAACAGGGGCCCCACTAAAATGACCCAGCCTCCTCTATCAGTTCTACCAGTTACCCGAGGAGCAGAAGCTGTAATAGTGGGAAAAAATGCAGCAGTAAGTGGCAAAAAGTCCTGATCCCGGGTCACTGGGTGCCCCTACACCCACATGTAAGGTCCTGAGGATGCACGGGAAGCAAGCATCTTCCTCGTTTGTGTCTACCTTTGTCTGCAAGCTGGAAAAATGGTGTTTCCTAAGGAGCAGCTTCACCTTCCAACACTCACAACACCAAAATGGTCGAAGACGGCGTGGCAGCTGGAAGGGCCTTCGAGATCAGGCAGCCCAGCCACCCTCACCGACCCACATGGTTCCAGGAGGAAGCGGAGGCCCAGACAGGGAGAAACCTGCGCGGGTCAAGCAGATCATGCCGGAGTCTGCATTTATACCAAGCCACAGACTCCCAGACCCATGCTCGTCCTGTCAAACCAGGCAGCTTCGACCTCTGAAGGGTCCTCCCTTCCTATCTTGCCTCATTACGCTGGGAGGAAAGATACGATTTATGTCCTACATATTCAACCTCTACGTTTCAGGTAAGAAAACAGGTCAAAAAGGAAAAGTCACTTGCCCCGGGTCATAGCTGGCGTCTGAACTGGAATTCAGGTTTGGGATCCTTTGCCCAGTGCTCATTTCATTAAAATGATACCCTCTCCCTAAGGAAATGTCCTTAGTCACAGCTCAAGCCTTCCCCTGCTCGTTCTCATCCTCAAAGAGGAGTAAAGCATCCAAAACTTTAACCCAAACAATCAGAGAAGCAGACACATTCCCTAAATTGCTGCCCCAGGCCCTGGAGACTGCGAGTCTTTACCTTCAAATGCCCGAGCAGCGTCCACGAGGTGGGACCAATCTAACCCCATGGCTGTGTCCGGGAGAGGCATCAGGCCAGGATCTGCGCACTTGGACTTATCCGATAAGGACCCATCGGAGAACCAGAACTCATCTAAACAGAAACAAAACCAGAGCATCAGTCACACCACAGCGCGGGGCACCAGCCAGCCCTGCACAAGGCCCCGGGAACTTCTTGTAAAAGACCTGCCCCCAGTAAAAGCAGGAGACGACATCGCAGTTACCCAAAAGACACACAGCTGGAAAAACGGCGGTCTGTGAAAAAGCCGAGACCTACAGACTCATGCAGAGGTCAGCCAGCAAGCAAAGATGGGGTGGAAGGGAGACTAGGACTGAGTCTTTGCGCATATGGGGATCTCACAGAAGTTCTCCTCTGGTGCAGGCTTCTCTCGAGTACATTGGCATCTGACTAACTGCAGGATCAACTCCTGTTTTCTTCAGGGGCGACTTCTCCCTTTGGAGAGTGGTGCAAGCTTCTACTGTAAAAATGGTTTGGCACAGTCTCTCTATCCTGATGGTTTAAAAAGCTTCCTGGAGAACAGTTACCCAAGCTGAGCACCACAAATTCAAGACGTCTTGAATATCAGTTTATTATAAAAATGCAGGAAGACTTTGTTTTCATTAGTAACAGACAAGAAAGAGAGGGGACAATATTTTAAATGCTATGCACAAAAATGATGGTTGGGTTGCTTTTTTGACTTTGAAATGGCTTGATCACTGGCTAAACCAGAAAGCTCTCGCCATCCTGCACCAAATGTTTCGTCGTCTTCCTTTGTCTGTACAAATGGACTGCTCACATTTCTTTTTCTCGTTAAACTCTCATCACAGGAGTTGAAGTGTTTATGTCATTAATAACACTAGTTCTTAAGAACTCATTATGCATCTGAGGACAAATTTTCAAAAGGCTTCCACTGGACTTCCTCTACTGTGTCTTTTCTGAACCTGCCCCAGCGCTGCATGCAGTGGCTTATGAACACATCTAACTAATTAGACCAAACAAAATAATGACCACCTGGCTGTCTGAGCCTGCAATTAAGTTAAGTAAGGGACATAATTAACCAAAGGCACCTGTAATTTTTGTTCCCGCATCCTTTGGGGTAGCTGTGAAATGCTGGCATCTGGACTAAGACGGAGTGTTTGTGATCTGGCCTTGAAGGACATGAACAGTCTGAACAGTCTTTCACTCTCCTGACACCTTCACAAGCAGCTCTCAGCCGACCTCTAACAGCTGGAACTAAACCAATCAAACCTTCTATTTTTTTTTTGAGGAAGATCAGCCCTGAGCTAACATCCATGCTAATCCTCCTCTTTTTGCTGAGGAAGACCGGCTCTGAGCTAACATCTATTGCCAATCTTCCTCTTTTTTTTTTTCCCCAAAGCCCCAGTAGATAGTTGTATGTCATAGTTGCACATCCTTCTAGTTGCTGTATGTGGGACGCGGCCTCAGCATGGCCGGAGAAGCGGTGCGTCGGTGCGCACCCAGGATCCGAACCTGGGCCGCCAGTAGCGGAGTGCACGCACTTAACCGCTAAGCCACGGGGCTGGCCCTCAAACCTTCTATTTTTAATACTACCATGTTTAGATGCAGTCATATTCCACCAACTCTTCGCAACCTCCATTTTGAAGGGAACCCAGTAATGGATATTTTGTCAACACCATTCCCGCTGCCACCCTCCCTCTCCACATGCTCATCTTCTTTGAAATAACAACCATTCCAGCTTGTTCTATGTGTGAGGTACTCTGTCCTTACGTAGGGACAGATTAAACACGGAGCACATGGCAGCAGCAACGCTGCCATAGGAGCAGGGAGGAGGGAACAGTTAGCACTCCGGGTCTCCCTCCTCTCCTGAACCTCCTCTGGAGCCCAGGAAGGCCCTGCCGAAAGAGGCGGGGCTGAACATCCCCCCAGGCCTCTGTCTTTAACCAGAAGTTTAAGGTTCAACCCCCAGGTAGAAAGGTAAGGAAGCCCAGGGATCCTCAGTCACTTACAAATCCCCTCCTTTGTCTCTCAAATACGTTGGCTGCTTTGCTTACAGCAGCTTTCCTGCACTAAGTGTAGAGAAATTATGTAACAAGGTGCAATTACTTGTGTCACTGATTCCCACGTGAGTGGTTCTTCAGGAATAGGGGCGAGAGTGTCTCAGCTCTGTGAAGGTGCCCCAGGCAGGCTAAGACCCGGTGTGAACTGGGCACTCCCCTCACCAGCTACCTCTCCTTTCCCAGCCGGAGGGGAAAACATCAGGGAGTGGAAAACTCTTCAGGTCAATGAACATTTCTAGAGGAAGTACACTCGGTTAGAAATGCCAACTTGAGGATTTTCTTTGCCCTTATAAAGAAATAATCCATCACCCGAGCCTCTGGCATCTTAAAGCTTAAAATCAAATCTAACACACATTCTGCGTGCTACTTCCTTCCCTGACGCCACCAGACCACATCCTCCTCACTGGCTCTAACAGGAGCCAAGTGGAGAGAAAAAGTAACAGAGAGGACAGGCGGACAAATGCGATAAGAATGGAGGGGATAGGGCCAACTGGCCGGTGCTGATTCAGAGAATGAGGTGCTGGGCTAACGTCCCTGCTCCACCCTCCTCTCGTCCCTCCCGCAGCTGTGTGCTCCCAGAGCCATCTTCCTCAAACACCCAATGGAGTATTGACAGCGGAGACTTCACAGTTTTGGGTTAAAAATTAAAGCTCTGCCTATTCCTGAGCACCCTGAAGTTCCATGCTACGTGGCCATTTGTAATTGAGCCAAGGCACAAGTCTGAATCTTGGTGGCCGGGAAGCTGATGCCCAGAGTGAGTGAGTGGGTCCAGCTATCCACACAGCAGGGCAGGCCAACCAGTTCCCCAGGTCTCCCTGCTCACTGCTCTCTACACAACTCATGCAGAGACCACATGCAAAGTGGCACTGATGCTTTGGGGTCTGGGAAGGTCTCAGGGCGTAAGTTTCACAACCAGAAGGAAGCCCAGGGCCTCGTCCTAACCTCCTCCAACTTTTATGGAGAACCAGGGAGCAAAAGGAGGAAATGTTTCTCCTTTATTACAAACTATTACCCCTCTTGCCCAGTTTTAAATGGGCCTTTGTCTGTTTACTTGATACTGTGGAACTGGCAAAGGTGATCAGTAGATTAGAAGACTCCTTTCCTCTGGAGTTCATTTGGGGTGCTATCCACTTAACCGTCTATTGATGATCTATTTATTAAATGACTACTGTCTGCCTAGTGATGGGGTACAGCAGTGGATAAGACAGACATGAGCACGCTCTCATGAAGCTTACATGACAAGTGACAAGGAAACAGACAATAAACAAATAAACAGGAACATACAAGTAGTGACAAGTCTTTCAAAGAAAATAAAACGGTGATGTGGCTGAGGAGCCTGATGGCATGTTTGGGGGAGGCCTGCCTGAGGAGGTGATACTTCCTGGGACAAACGATGAGAAGGAGCTGCTTGATGAAGAGCAGGGGTCTGGTAGAAAAGCTCTGAGAAAGATCAGACTGAAATCTAAACCCGATGTCTTTCAGAAGCAGGAAGATCCTAGTGCCAATGACAGTCAACTTAAATGAACAAAGAGCTGCCTAAATTCCTCTCTGAATTATCAAAATGAAAAGCACCTAAATATTTTTCCTTTGCTTGGAAAAATCATATAATTGTAAAAAATTACCATCTTTTTCTTTTGTCTGAGACTCCAAACCATCAAACTCCTTTATAATACTTTTAACTGACATTAGGTATCACTACTGTCACCCCCCAGATGATGTTCACTGAGCATCCACTATATTCCGGGTACCATCAGGTACTGTATTAGCACCGAGGGATGGATGACCAATAAGACACAGCTTCTGCCCTTGAGGAGCCCAGTCCACACACAGATGAGTCCTGTTGGTGCTGGTCTGGTGGGGTTTGGATAAGGTACAAGCTGTGAGCTGTCCCCTGTGCTTGGTGCACACCATGGCAGCTGGCACTGGATTGTTTCCTGAGTTTTACAGATGGGGAAGAAGAGGCATGACTTGTCTTAGGTATCAAAGCCAGTGTTCCCTCAGGGGCACACATTGCTCTTCTGGTCGATTCAGAAAAGAAAGTGACTCGTGGATTCTGTTGAAAGATGGCTAATGTCCAGGTGCTGATGCCTGGGCTGCTGCTCTCTGGCCTGGACATTGATCTTGTGGCTTCCTGTTTGTTTATCCAAAACCTAAAATCACAGTGACCATCTTTATTGGGTCTGACTTTACTGTTGTCATTATAAATCCTGAGGAGCCTTCTCGACAGCACTTCCTGGTGGTCAGACATCTGAGGTTTTGCAATTACTCTCCAGAAAGCAATGGATGTTTATTATAGGGGAAATTGAAAACATTTGAAAAAAGAGAAGTGCCATATGGAATCAGCCAAAACCTTGCCTCTGACGGCCCATGGACACCTTCTGCAATGCCAACTGAAGCAAAGATTACTCTTCTGCTGGTTGTCAGCTCTTATCACCTATGCCACACACCACTGAGTCTACACTTGAGGTCTGTAGCATCTCATGTGAGTACTAAATTATACAAAAAATACTCATTTCCTTTATTTGTATTCTAAAACTCCACCCCTCCTCTTTTTTTTTTTTTTTTTTTAACTTCAAGGGGCATCCTTTGGGAGGTGCCTAGGTCAAAACTATAGGATTTAGGGGAACACACATAAGCTAATACTCTGTTTTTATTTCTCAAAACTTAAGAACTTTCATTAGTCTATCCTCATAGGAAGATTTCCACCATTCCTTGGAGAGTTTTGATCTTCATTCCATCAAAAATCAGGAATTCTCTTTAAACATGCTGTGAACCCGCCAAGGCTTGAGACTACAGTGAATGAAGCCAGGTGCCCAACTGTGCAAGGAGGCGAAGGATACTATGAACGCTATTCAGGATCATTGCTTATCGGGCCTGTGGACTGTGTGTCCAAATGGCCACTCCCATTTTTTTTCTATCTGGGCCACTAAAGAAATTTTATTCTGAAATCCATCAATTATTAAAATAAAAAAGGCCCTAAATGCAATACAGAAACATTTCAGAAATATTTTCAATTGCTCGATCGGGTCATATTTTTACATCTCTAAGCTGAAGACATAATGATACAGCACATTCCAGTGACTTCACAGGAAATATATGTGAATCATGACATGAATCACATCCAAAATGTGTTTGTTAAGTATCTGTCTCACAGGAGTGGATTAAGATCTTGGTTTCAAGAGAAGAAAGATTCTGAGACAGGTTCAAATTTGGGATATTTAAAGGCTAAAAATATCTGAGCAAGAAGCCTGTGCCTGTGATAATTACACATAGAAAAGGTGTAGTGATGAAGTCTCCCAACATTCACTGTGAAGGGATGAACTTCCTGACCCTTTCTCCACGCTACCCTTACTCCAGATCAGGAACCAGACCTGAATGAGTCTCTCTGAGAGATTCTCTTTCTGAAGATCAGATGCTTCTAGCAATGCTCAAGTTCTACAGTTTAAAAGAAGAATGTGTGTGCCTTCTGAGGGTTTTGCCAAGCTCCATTTATGCAGCTATTTAACCGTCCAGGGCTACAAGACTCAGCAGAACTAACCTCCACTCCAAGTTTTAATGTGAAGCGAAGTCTCTGAGACACTAAGAGAAACAACTGGGCAATCTCCAGTAGTCCTTAGCTCTCACTCACAGACATCTGCTAGGCATTAGCACCACATTTCAACTTTCTGGGTTGTTCCAGTTTCAGAATGTTAAAATACTCACAAAGAGGGCTATCGTCTTATAGAGGCTCTGCTGACTGAGCAGAAACCACAGAGAGCGAAGGATGACTAAAATCTGTCTTGAATAGATACAAAAGTAAGAACCACTCAGGTGAGTGTGGGAGTCAAGGGTCCCACGAACTAGTGTTCTCCAAAGGATACTAAACCCTTGAAGCTGAACCTCTCTATGGGCACGGTGGAAGGAATCAGAATTTTTGGGTGGAAGACACATCAATGCAATTTACTTCCAGCTCCCTTATTTATATTCTGTCATTTTACCCATCAAACCTAGAGAATTTTTTCTGAGTAGTTTCTAAAGTATAGAAATTGGAGGAGTCACACTGGCAAATAAGGTTTGATTAGAGAATAGCAAACAGCAAAGACCACTCATTGCTTCTCCTACAGAAATGAACAATGAAGACAGGTAAGGCAGGTTTAACTTGGATAGTGAATAAACAGAGTATCCTGCCTATTTCCTAACTGTGCCTTTACAGTTTGAACATACTAAAAATGGATGTAGTTTTTCAGTAGGCGAATGGGTTCCCTGTGGTACATCCAGACAATGGAATATTATTCAGTGCTAAAAAGAAATGTTATCAAGCCATGAAAAGACATGGAGGAAGCTTAAACGCATGTTACTAAGTGAAAGAAGCCAATCTGAAAAGGCTACATACTGTATGATCCCCACTATATGACATTCTGGAAAAGGCAAAACTACGGAGACAGTAAAAAGATCAGCAGTTGCCAGGAGTTAGGGGGAGGGAGGGATGAACAGGCAGAGCACAGAGGATTTCAGGGTAGTGAAACTATTCTGTATGACAGTGTAATGAAGGATACATGTCATCATATATTTGTCCAGACCCACAGAATGTACAACAGCAAGAGAGAACCCTGGTGTAAACTATAGACTTTGAGTGACAATGATGTCTCAGTGTAGGCTCATGGATTCTAACAAATGTACCACTTTGGTGACAGATGTTGATAATGGGGGAAGTTGTCCACATGTGGGGATAGCGGCTTTATGGGAACTCTCTGTGCCTTCTGCTAAATTTTGCTGTGAACCTTAAACTTCTCTAAAAAAAAAAAAAAAAAAAAAAAAATATATATATATATATATATATATATATAAAAAAGTGAGGCTAAAAAAAAGATGCATATCTTTCACATGTAAGCAAACGAAGGGTAGAATCTAAGAACTATATTAATATACAGATTTCACAATCACACTTCAAGCATTTTAAATGAAAGAAATAACATTTGTAAACATTTGTAAGAAAACAGAGTTTTACAAAAGCTTTTAAGAGGACATTAAAGTTACATATTTACAAAAAAGGAAAAACATTTGAAGAAATATTGGGGTGTTAAAAGATGTCTGTCTGACCTTTCATACAGTTATCAAGGAGTTTAAAGGTTTCTTCAATTTAGACAAATGGACCCTTTACAGCAGGCAGGATATTATGTTACTTAAAGAAATAGATTAAGAATTTTATGAGACAAGGTTCATTTCCAATTATGTTAAACATTAGAAACATTATTAGAACTTTTATTTCATTTAGCCTGGGACTTCTGTGTGCATTATGAAGTTCAAAATTGGTTTTAAAGATAATGCTTTTGGTGATGAAATTAAAAAAAAAAAAAAGCCTGACAATGAATATATTTCTGATTATATCCCCATTCTTCCTATACAATAGAAATTAACTATGAAAAAAAGAAATAAAAGCTAATGTAAAAAAAATAACCACCCTTAAACACCGACATGTTACAAGGAACTGACACTATGTAAAAATCAAAGATTTTAGGATTTGAAGGAAAATAATCTAGAAATTATCTATTCAACCTTTGACCAGTAAATTGGAGTAAACTGGACACAGAGTACATAAGTGACGAGCACAAGGACATGCTGCTGCCCGCAGGGAAAGCCAGGTCTCAGTCCTAGATCTCCTGCAGCCCACCCGCCACCTTGCCTGTCACCAGGTATAGAAGGTCAAGAAGAAATAGAAATGGAAGGCGAGAAAACCAAACTTTCCTCCTTACTTGCTGCCCACTGGAAATCTATCCCTGCACTCCAGTTTTTTCTTTATAAAGTCAGGTTTTAGACATTTTTCCATATGGATGTAATTGCTGAGAGATGGTACAAAGGTCACTATTTTATCTGATGAAAATCTTTAATATGGATTTTTCAATTTTCTTCAAAATTGTTAATATTGCTTAACTTGTAAAAAATGTCCACTCTGGGACTTTTATCATATTTACAAATTACTAAGAAAAAAGAAAACACACCACCATATGATACATATTTTAAAAAATTAACAATACCCCCCAACACCTTCCTAGGAGACAATCTTGACAATCAACCCCCCAAACCCCCAGCAGGCAGGAGCTAGTCAATCAGGCCACACCTCTGGGAAGCGCCCCGTCCACCGCACCGCGCTTACTTCTCAGGTTCCCCATGCTGGGCGCAGGGTGGGTCCGGGGAGGCAGGGTGCTGTGGTAGGGCGGAGTGGTGCTGAACAGAATGTCGTTGGGCAGGGCCTGGTCAAGTATGGAACTTCGGGAACTGCCAAAGGAAGATCCCCTCCGATTGCTGCATATGCTCTCATCAGAGAGGGTGCGGTACAGCGACCGTCGCGGAGACAGGTTCCCGTAGAAGGAAAACTAGAGGTTTAAACATGGCGGGAGTGGAGAAAACAGACATGAAAACGCTGACAGCATGGAATTGATCTGCCTAAATCTGGTGGGTTCACATACCACCGTGAGAGCTTCTCTGAGCATCCCCTAGGCAGGCATAAAGTGTTTAACTCAGGAATGCTAAGCCAGGTACGTGGGTCATCCGGGCAAATGCACCAGGGCTTTGGTGTGGTGACTGGATTTGAGTGTTTTCCTCCTTTGACATTCTGTGAAATATTATCACGAATTAGACATGCACATCTTTATTAATTCTGAAATGTTAAATAGAACCTCCATAACCTCATAGCAGTAGCAGCTCCTGGAAATATATAAGGTTGCCATTTCAAGTAACAGTTATTCAAAACCACACATAGTGCTGGCTTGATTTTAATTTGAAATGACTACATTTTAATATTAGGCAGTTTCTGTAGCAATCAACTGCATGTGAAATTCAATCCAATCTAAATAATAATAAAGCTAATTTTGAACACTGTAGCTTTCTAGGCCATACAAATACGTTCAAGAAAAATGGTAGGTATCAGGCCAGGAAAATCTTACTGTTCACTTAAAAGTATCACTCCCGAAAGTCTATTACAATTGTTGAAAAATGAGTTATAGTAATCCATCATAAGCAGATTTAAAGGCAACATTAAAATTATGGTGTGTTAGATGAGAGATAGGGTAAGAAAAATTCTTACTAAAGAAGCAAGTAGTCAAATACTCAAGAAAAATTAAGTCAAATATGAATTTCCAACTACTACTTCTGCATTCTGAACCACGTTCCTTTTACATAAACAATAGTAAAAGCCAGAATGTTCACTTCAAACAAATATAGAAATGGCTATTTACATTTGAGAGTGCAGCAAGAAGGCTAAAAATATTTCTATTGTATGTGTTCCTTCCATTCTGTCGTCTCTCTAACTGACGAATGGCAACTGGAATGAGTGTGAATTATAAAGTTAAATTTACACTATGAAAAGAAGGTGATTTGTCTTAGAAGAAAAAAAACACACGTCAAGGAGAAGTTCATTCCTATTAAAAGAAAAGCTATTTGCACTTTTTGTATAATAGTCTGCACCCAAGCTTATACAGTACCATCTACATGATTTGATACAAGTTAAAAAGACTCATTATGACTGAGTTCTTCGGGGATTGCCTCTTTACACACGACCAGCAGGTTCTTCAGAACATGATTACAGGCACGTTAGATTAAAGCAGCTTTGAGATAGTATCTAATTAGAGTGTTATTCTAAGATCACAATTAGGTTAATTGCAGTATTGTTTTATTATAGGGAAGAGAGAAGCAAAAAGCCTTGCTGTTTACCCTGATCACAGCCAATACGGCAATGCCTGGTTTTTTTTCTTTTCTTTTCATTTGGACAAGAGAGTGTGATGGATTAGAAAGGAGAAGACCTAGATTCCATTCCTGACTCTGCCACCAAATATTTATGTGAACTTCACATTTCACCATTTGGGCCTCGGTTACTTGCAAAGAATGGAGATTGGGCTAAGTTACTTGTAAGTTCCTTGTAATACTTTCCATTATTTAACAAAGTGGTTTAAGAGACTGTAATAACAATGAAACTAAAACTAATAAGAATAAGTAATCTAACACTAGCCAGGGACTACTACAGTGTGAAGGAACGTATGCCACTGAACCTGAAGCTGGCTCATAAGATTGACACGTGGCCTTCCCTGTGATTTTTATGTGGGAGTTTTATATGGGACGATGTACGTGCCATCCTGTTTATAACGCCCGGCAGGCAGTATACTATCTAACTCCAGCCCATTTCTGGAACAGGATTACATCTAAGAAGGACAGCTTGGAGCAAATAGCTACTGTTTCTGATCATCCGTTATGTCCAGGTAGCATACGAGGCTCTGCCCATGTTATTTCTTATCTTTGCTATAACTCTATGGTACACATTATTATCTCCTTGTAAAGGACACTGGGCCAAGAGGTCAAGTCACCTGCACACAGTCATGCAGATGATCATTGTTGGAGCTGGGATTTGAGGCCAGGCCTGCCTGATTCTAGCTCTCTCTATCCACGCTGGAAAGCTGCCCTTCCTCACCTTTCCCAGGTTCGCTTTGCTTACTGACAGAATAGACATTGCAAACAGCCAGCCACACAGAGTTGCTGGTAGGGTCACAAGACAGAATGCACGCAGGAGTGCTCTGGAAACCTGTAGTCTCTTTAGATTTTTCTTGAGTGTTTCTGGTAACTTCAAAGCCCCACAGAAGTCACTCACCCTTCTTCTCCCCTCCTCCACCAAGGGGCTGTCAGGGAGCATCAATTTCAGAAAGTCTTCTTTTGACAGAACATGTTGAGTTTCTGAAGTGGCATCTCCCACCACTGTCTGATGCTGAGCGGCCGTGGCCATGAGATCCATCTCACCATACAGCCTGTTGAAACAAACCAGAAGGAAGCAGACCAGAGGAGTGGTCAGCCTGTTTGTAAAGTGCCTGCAGGCTTAAGAATGAAAATCCAGTAACCTCATACACATAGACACGACTCGTAATCATTAAGTCAGTTCGCTTCTGCTACATTCACTCCAGATCCCCATGTCGTTTTACATTTATGAAATAAGCTCAACTGCAGAGTTATATTTCTGAATAATTCAGGAACAAATCAGATCCCCAAAGCCCTGGATGAGAAAAAGTATAGCCAACTTTTAAAATAAGGCTGGGCTTTTCTTTTCCCAATCTCTGTCAGAAAACACAGTTTCAATAATTCATCAGAGATTATCAAATGTCCTTTGAAGGAAGCCTGGTGCTTCTCAGAAACTGGAGAGCCTTTCCCTTGCAGCTGGACGTCCATACCCCACGTCTCACCCAGGCAACACAGGGGCACCCGCGGGAGCCTGAAGTTTAAGAGTAATCAATTCAGGCGTGGGCCAAACACGTTTTATTATCAGCAATTTCGCAAAGCTGTTTGGATAAATAAAGCAGCTGTCTCCTTTAATTATCAGCAAATAAAAATGTATTTATGGACAACAGAAGACTGTCCAGCTGAAATACTGTTTTCAGCTCTTTTCCAGGGAGAAAACTGGGGAGTCATTTTTAAAAGGTTTACTCTGAAAATGCAATCTGAGCAACCAAACATTCCTGAAGACACAGTGAATACGACAGTGGCTGTGTTGTCAGCCGAGGTGAAAGGTCTTTGCCACACGACCTGAAATGTAGCATTCTAGGAATCCACCGCCCAGAGCAGCAGGCAACAGAGGATGACCTGTGTGTTACTGCTGTGTGTCACTGAGACGACTCTACTTTGAAAGCAAGGCTATCTTGTCACAGTGTGACAGCTCACTGGGAAATTATCACAGTGAGAAACTCACAGAGACACGCTCAAAATTAACAACGATGTATCTGGAAATCTCTCTGGCTTGCGCTTTGCTTCTGAGGTAGGTCAGGTTTCCCTGCACTTCTCAGTTCTTGAAGCACCAGCAACACTGAGGACATGAACCAACAGTGGCTGTGAAGGGAGCTTTTAAAAACATTTAAAACATGACTGAAGACTTGGTTGGCTTGTGGGATGGTGTGATGTGAAAACGGGGGAAGAACCCCAGACCCTGGGGGGCATTCGCACAAAGGCCACAAGGGGAAAACACCCATGGAGGCTTTATGAAGAGAACATCCAAGAAGCGCCCCACTTCTCACCCTGAGGTTTGGAGCTGGGGGTGCTCAGGAGCTCCAGGCCCCCTTTGCTTTGGGAAAGATGTGGGGGGGAAAGTCCAGGTCCCATCAATAACTGCTTGGATAAAAATCTAATGCCTATAATTACTATTAAAATGTGCTATTCTAGTTTCCCTATGTGTTTGAATAAAAATCACTAGCCTGTCTGCTAAATTAGTAGTTTTATTAAAACTGCCAAATGATGTATCAATAAATATGCCGTGAGGGTCTACTTGTGCCAGTCACTAGGTGTAGAGAGGTGAGCAGGACCTGGTGCTCCAGGAGGACCCCGCTCTGGGGTGTGTGCGTGTGCGCACGTGTGTGTGTGCGCGGGCGCAGGGGCAGGGATGAACGAGTGGGAAGTCACAGTGCTGGGACAGAGGTGCAGAGAAGGGCCCAGCCTGGGAAGGTGCTGGCCTGAGAAACCTGGCTCAGAAACTCAGGAAGGGCGTTTAGGCAGAAGGAACCAGATGAATGGAAGCACAGAGGCCTGAGACAGAAGTGCTCAACTCGGGCAGTGAAAGGAGAGCTACCAGAAGTGTAGAGGGCGGGGTGGATGGAGATTGGGCTTGCAAGTAGTTACAGGACAAATAAGGGAGGATTACATATGCTGTGCTGAGCCATTACCCTGAAGATACTAGAGTTTAGAAAGATTACAAATAGAGAAGGAAACGAGCTTTGAACATTAGGGGAAAAAAAAACCATTCTAGGTATGACATGGACCGTGGTTGGAGGAGCTGGAGTGGAGGTGGAGACCAGGCAGGCTGGCACACAGCAGCCTGGGCTGAGAGGACCCAGGATGGTGGCTGAGGCCACAGACATGGAGGACACTAAAGGGAGGACCAGTGAGACTTGGGGATGGCAATGTGAAAGGCCAGGTAGAGGCTGGGGCAGAACCTACGATTCTGACTTGGTGACCACAGACAGGAAAACACTTAAATAGAGAATACTGAAGGAAGAGTCCATTTCAGGAGGACAAATTAGGAAATGCGCAGCTAAACACCGGCATTAGGCTCTTATAATCGATGCCAATGTAATATATGAAATAATATGTGAACTGCTTTTGGAGTACTGTAATTAGTAATTTCTACACTTTTCCTCCTACCTCCAACTGGGTACTCCTGAAAACGGGGCCTGGGACCTAATTAGCTTTGTATCTCTAATGCTCAGTTCAGTTTTTCCCATGGGTTAACAGCACAGTGCTTCCCACTCCTGAGGATGTGTCTAGAGCTCCACTGTATCCGGAACAGTGAGCTGAAGGGCTTCCCGGAGGGTGTGAACCACTGAGGAGAGAAGCAGACCAAAGCTGCAGGACGCTCCAAGCACCCCCTCCACTTACGAGATGAGTGAGTGAGCAGCTCGCTAGCTGCATTTTAAAACATAAGGTTATATTATTAACAAAAATAATCAATGAGGTTCTGCAATACAATTTTAAAGAAATAACTGACAGTTTCTGAGTTATGTGAAACTTCTGGAGGGCACAACTGATTTTATATTTTTTGTACAACAAGACGCGTATTCTCTAATTCTCAGTGGTACAAACACACTGTACTTGGCTATGTACTTTTCTATGCGTATCTTTCAGTGATTTGGTAAAACACTGTTCTGATGAAATTTCAAAGCTATTGGTGCAGCCTGGTACGACTGTTGTATGTATATATTCATCACTTCAACATTAAACAGAGTGTCTTGTTTTAGACGCACTTTACTTAGCTGGGCCAGGCCTGGGGTGCCTGCTACACCTGACAGGATGAGCACGACACACCGCAGAGACCTGTGCGAGGCCTGGGTTTGAATCCCAGCACTGACAAATAACTGCTCTCCTACCCAGAGGTGCAAACCCCTTCTCATAGCATTCCTCATGTTGCCTCTCTTTTACTGAGAGTTGGTGTCATCAAACCAATGTGTTCAAACGCATGAACTCTGGAGGGCTCCCGAGTGAAAAATGTCCAAATGGGCTCGTTTCCCCCTCTCCTGACTCTTCGAGAGAGTCCTCTGGCAAAACACAGTGCTTACACTGATATGCAAAATGCTTCTACAGATATCCCATAGAACTTAAACGGCTTCAGATGATTTCTGTGAAGCCTCAGAAGACTCTATTAGACAGAAATACTGACATTATCATTAGAACATTTACGATAAAAAGTGTAGTTATCACTATAAAATTCCTTTCTAAATAATTCTTTTACAATTATTGCATTTGCAATTATTGACATGATGGGTTTTGTTTTCTTGGTGAGGAAGATCGGCCCTGAGCTAATGTCCGTTGCCAATCTTCCTCTTTTCTGCTGAGGAAGATTAGCCCTGAGCTGACATCTGTGCCCATCTTCCTCTATTTTGTATATGGGATACCACCACAGCATGGCTTGATGAGCAGTGCATAGGTCCGCACCCAAGATTCAAACATGGGAACCCTGGGCCGCCAAAACGGACCAGGCAAACTTAACCACTATGCCACACAGCCGGCCCCGGGATCATTTTTTAAGGGAAAAAAGTGATACTAGTTTATGGATCAAACCTAAGATCTAGCAGAACTGTCTGAAAGTCACCACAGCACCTGAGTACCCCCACACTCGACAATGCTATCAATACATGCAGACACAGCAAAACACAATGACCTTATCATTTAGTGCACGAGAATTTTTTTAAGGCTGTCCTTTAAAAAATAAGCAAACCAACAGCTAAACTGCTCTGACCAGCCTTGCTCTGCATTCTTGAAATGTGATTTCTTTACTTGTCTCTTCAAAGAGATATCAGTACAGTTTTCACACATGTTAAAAATTGGGTTATCAGTATTTTTTCTCTTCTTTTTTCAAATAAAAAACATCCCTCCCTACCTGCCTCTGCAAAACCTAACAACTGAAAGGGAAATCAAAACCATGTTAAAAATAGGTAAAATATTTTTTCTTGTATGGTATCAGTTACATAGCAACTTTAAGAAACACACACAGACTCTGTGGGAACTCAACTGTCCTTGAACTTGTGTGTTTACAGACTCTACACTCACACCACCACTAGCACATTATCACGACTTTTCTATTGCAGGCAGCTTTCTGAATATAAGAACAAAGAAGAGAGATTTCTTTTAAGTTTATAAGCAAAAATCAAGGAAAGAGACGAATTTTAAAGAGAAATATAAATGCCAAGATTTAAAGAGTTTTACAAAGATGTTTCTGGATTATTCTTTTTTAGAAAATGTATTTCTGCTAGAGGAAAAATATATTTGCTTAGTCAATCCTCAAAATGTATAATGTTGCCTAGAGAAGAACCACCAGCCACCTTACCCCTGACATTCAGTCACTTCAGACTCCTCAGGCGGTGGGCTGCCTTCCGATTTCTTCCAGCCGATGACGTATTTGTTCACTGCCCCTTGTCTGTGGTAGGGCTTGGACATGGACCCTGGGACCTGCTGACCGCTGCTGTGAGACACGATGTAGACTTTGGACGTATCCAGAGACCCACTATTTTTGGAACAGTGAGCTGAAGGGCTTCCTGAATGGTGTGAACCACTGAGGAGAGAAATAGACAAAAGCTGTAATACTATCAGATTTCAGCAGTGCTGGCATGTTGCCAAGCCCAGAGCCACAATACTTTACATCCTGTCCTTCTCTGTGAGCAAAATCAGGCAGAGTGAGCACGTTAGAATGTGCCTTGTTAGAATGTCTCATTTTCCATAGGCTAAGGATGCCCACGCACAAGCTGTACGCCTGTGGTCAGAAGGATGTTACAAACATGGTCAGGGGAAATCTAACAAAAAAATGGGTAACATACTTAAACCAATGCTCAAAAGAGAGGAGACTCACACAGCGGATAAACATAGAGAAGGGGCTCAACCTCAGCTGTCACCAGGGAAACGGCAATGCAAACCACAACAGTATCACAACTCACTCACCAGACTGGCAAAAATGGGAATGCTTGATAATGAATGCCCAGTGTTGGCCAGAACTGGAGCAATGGGCACCCTCCTACTGCTAGTAGCAGTGAAAAGTGTGTAAAACAGTTTGGAAAGCAGTCCAGGCGTTACCTGTAGAGATGTGCACCCGCAGAGTGTATGACCCAGCAATTCCACTCCTCAGTGTACACCCTAGATAAACCCCTGCACGTGCGTAACTGGAAACTGGTAACAATGTTGATAGGAGCACTGATTTGAATAGCTCCCCAGTGCTGGCAACCTGAATCATCATTATGATTGGATGATGGAATGGATGGTCAATTAATAAACACGGATGAATACATGGAATACTCCATAAATGAATGAACCGAGGCTGCAGACAGCAACTTGGGTCAATCTCACAAATATAATGTAGAAAAAGAAGCAAGTCACAAAGAATATGTTGAACATGATTCTCCTTTTTAATAAAGTTCATAAACAGGCAAAACTGGACAATACGTTGTTCAGGAACACATACATCAGTAGTAAAACTATAAAGAGAAGCGAGGGATGGTTATCATGAAAGCCAGGTTAGTGGCCACCCCAGGGGGAAGAGAAGGGATAGTGATCGGGTAGGACGTGGGGGTCTTCCAACACAACAACGACAGTTCCTTAATCTGGTGTCATAATACGGATGTTCTGTATTACCATGTGATATGACAGCAACAAAATAATATTTAAAACACAGAATCCCTAAAAACAACAAATTTTTTTTAAATGTCAGCAGTTAAGCTAAGGCCAGAAGGACTCCCCTATTGACTGTATGATCACCTCTAGAAATAGAAAGCCTAAAGATCTTTTTTAATTCAGAAAGATCAACAATATAATATTTTATGAAAAAATGAGTAAAACAGAGATCAGGGATTACTTCACAAATATGAAAAAGCAGAAGTCCTTGCTATTGAGCGAGTTTACGACAGGGTTCTTCAGATGGCCAGCTCCCTGGTATGATGAAATAAAATCTTGTTCTGAAACCTCTGATTAGCTCACACATTTACTGAAAAAACTATGTATAAAGCAAGTATATAATGGAGGAAGTAAAAAAAAAAGTCTAAAACTAAGAATGATATTAAAATAGACTTTTTATAGAGGTTCAAAAGAAAATAAGGAAACCAACCAATTTTGTGGTCTTCTACATGTTGGAGACACTGCGGTATTCGAAAAATTAAAAAAACAAACGAAATAAATGCATAAAACACCTCATCTACTCCCATGAAGTGACTTAGTTGCTGGTGGTAGGTCTGCGCTCCTGAGCGTGACTCAAGGCTCCCTCCATTTGGGCTCTAAGTTGTGAGCTCTGCGGGAAGATGTTTTACTGACTTCCCCACGTCCAAAGCAACCCAGAAAATAAGCCAGGAATGAAGAGGCATTGAGAGAGGGAGCTAATGAACTCTTTCCGTGTACTGGGGTGCGCACCAGTTAGTAAACTCTTCACCAGAAAACTCCATCTCTGGGCAATGGGCTCTGAAGGCCTGTATATGTTCCCGTAAGCTTCAGAGCTACAGAAAAGGCATAAAAATAGTAGAATAACATGCATATACTCTTCATCTAGATTCACTAATTGTTACTATCTTGCTACTTTGGCATTATTCCTCTCTATATATTCCTCTCTGAACCATTTGAGAATTAGTTGCAAACTTTATGACATCATAGTCCTATATTTCAGTATACATTTCCTAAGAATAAGGACATTCTCCCACAGAGTAACAACATAATTACCACAATCAGGAAATCAGGCATTAATGCAATACTATTATCTAATATACAGTCAATATTCTAATTTCTCAATTGTCCCAATTATGCTTATGGCTTTAGTTTCCCCATTCAAGAATTATGCATTGCCTTTAGCTACCATGGGCATCATGCATTTTAAAGCCTTTGATTATCTCCGCAATGTTTTATAGTTAAAGTCTAGGGTACCCAAAGTCTGCTGTAATTAATATGCTGCATAAGCTACTCACGTTTCCCCCCTGAAACTACCAAATCGAACGCTTTTTGAGAATGTGTCGTGAATAACGTAGCATGGTCACAAACTCTTATGTGTTTTTCCATTGTTTTATAAAAGATATTTTTCCAACTTCAGACTTGCTTAAAGTTGTCTTTTATGCCAATAGTACAATATTTTAAAGTTAAACTCTAAAAACAAATTTACTGAATCCATTTGATGAGCAATATGGCAAAAATCTGTGTTTAGCAACAGCAACATCATTATAAAAGTTTTCTGCGAAGCTGGTAAACATTCTAGAATGTTGGCAATAAGCTTTTCATGAATCCTTTCCTTCTAAGGTTCTTATTTTAGAGTTTCACTGCCAAGTTCCAACCATTTGTACTAGGAGAAGGGTATGATGACATGAATAATGACAAACAACAGATAATCACGAGCCATTTACAGGAAAATCCAGAACGTGGATTGTATTTTTTTCAGTTGATTTATTTCACTTTGCAAAATCTTGCCGAGGCTAATATGAATACTGCTTTGTATTCTGAGCTCTTATCTAAGCGCCCCGCCCTTGCAGGGAGGAAAAATAGGCGTGCTGAATTAAAGAGCTGAGCAGCAGGAGAAAGAAGGCTAGATATATGCTTGTCTCGTTTAATGGATGATTCCTGCTCACACCCCGCCACCCTCCCCCATTTTTTCCTTGCACCCTTGTAGCCTGTCTTAAAGAGGTTTAAGTCCTCCTTTCCCCCTCCTCAATACAATCCTGGAATCACACCATATACACAATTCCATACTTGCTTTGGGAAGGAAGGCTGTTGGGAAGGACGCGCGTGTGTGTTGGGGCTGGAGGGGGCGGCGGTGGTGTTGGTGGTGGAAAACCAGAATTAGTCTCTGAAGAGTATGCCGTATACTGATCTGGGCTCCTGCGCCTGGGAACTGGGGACAGTTGACCCCACGGGCCCCCTGCTTCTCTAGGCTGTCCAGGCACTAATTTATTAACTCAATCAACAGGCATTTATCAAGCATTCTTCTTAAAGTTCTTTCCTTCATTCAACAAACGTTCGAATGCCTACCACATGCAGGGAACTGGACTAAGTGCTATGGATACAAAGTGAATGAGAGGCCAGTCCCTTCAGCCTGCAAACACGGACACTCTGTGAAGGGAAGACAGCAATAAGCCACACTCTCAAGGGGGCAGATCACAGCACAGACGATTTCAGCTGGGGGTGAGTGCTAAGAAGAAACGAAGACCCGGGGGGCCAGCCCAGTGGCGCAAGCGGTTAAGTGCGCGTGCTCTGCTACGGCAGCCGGGGGTTCGCTGGTTTGGATCCTGGGCGCGCACCGATGCACCGCTTTTGTCAAGCCATGCTGTAGTGGTGTCCCATATAAAGTGGAGGAAGATGGGCACGGATGTTAGCCCAGGGCCAATCTTCCTTAGCAAAAAGAGGAGGATTGGCACATGTTAGCACAGGGCTGATCTTCCTCACACACACACAAAAAAAACGAAAACCCAGGACGAGGACACAGACTGCGTGGGGGTGGGTGTGACTTCAGCCAGGGTGGTCAGCACTGATGTCAGCCCCTAAAGGAGTTATTTTGCTCTTTTGATCCTTGGGCTACATGCTAAAACCAGTCACTCCTCGACCTTTGGGCAGTGGGCCTCAGCTACGAGTTGACCACACACGGGTTTAAACTGAATCAGAAGGGGCTAGTCCGGGGCTGATGATCCATCATCATAGACACACTGCCCCAGTCTGGGCCCTGGCATTTCAGCATCCGCAGAATGTCAGCACGACTTCAAAGGCTGGTCCCTTGTCTAATGAGCACGATTCCTTCTACCTCAACACGCAGATACCTTAAATATAAAATATTAACATATTTAATACTTAAAAATATTTAAATATCTAAAAATTTAAAACATTTTAAATCTTATTTTCTTTAGCCCTCCTGCACAGGTCAGGGAACAGACAGGAGGAAGTATTCAAAAGATCCAATTTAATGACTGAATTTCATACTGAGCAACGTAAGCTGAAATGTCACTTCAAAGTCACCATCAACTAAAAATCTCAAGAAACAGCCAGCCAGGTGGTAAAGGATTCCACTCACTCAACATCTATCATTTCGACAACAGCTGTGCACATTCAATTTAAAGTGGTGGAAAAAAGTAAAATCAATCAGAAATTCAATCTAGCACTTTTATATACTTTCTAATAGTCTAAACCATTAAATTAATGAATGGTTAAGGTATTCAAGAAAATCTACTTCAAAGCCCTATAAATATCCCACCTCTATTTATAAACGGGTGTGCTCTGAAGGCAGTTCCCACAGAAACTTTCCTTCATAGTAATACAAAACTCTGTTTGTGATGCCAATTGCATTTGTCCAACAAGGTATCATGAAATCAGCTGTTTTACAAATCTTCTAAATTGTGGAAAGACATTAGAAGGCTATAAAACCCAAGATGGTTTTTATAGTATGGCCAATTTTCAACCATCCCTGAAATTAAGATAGGAATAGTTCAGGTAACCAAAGTCACTGATAACACTTAAATATTACAGGCATACCCCGGAGATATTGCAGACTTTGGTTCCAGACCACTGTAGTCAAGTAAATACTGCAATAAAGTGAGTCACACAAATTTTTGGTTTCCCGGTGCATATAAAAGTTATGTTTACACTATACTATAGTCTATTAAGTGTCCAATAGCATTATGTCTAAAACAACAATGTACATACCTTAACTAAAAAATACTTTATTACTAAAAAATGCTAACCACCATCTAAGGCTTCAGGGACTCGTAATCTTTTTGCTGGTGGAGGAGGTCTTATAAAAAAATGCAAAATCTGCAAAGTGCAATAAAGTGAGGTGCAATAAAACGAGGTATGCCTGCATTTTAGTTATTAATTAAACATATTTTAAGTCAAATTATTAAAGAGAATTGGTAAAAAGTAGTAGGAATGTCTATTTTGAAAATAATCTCCATATCCTAGGTTCCCTCTGTCCCAGTGGAAGAAGAGTACGTTGTGGACACTTAGGATTCCCCAGTCTGGCATCCGCTCTCCCTTCTCCTGGTAAAACAATACCTTGATTTTCCTCTGGGGAAGCTGCTTAGTGGGACAGACTCCCAGGCCGCGACAGAGGGTCTTGCCTGCCTTAGGCGATGGTACCCCCTGACCACAGTGAGATTAAAGCCAAGGAGATGTGATGAGGTATTTTGGGGGGGAGGGGAGGAGCTTCTGCAGAAACTAGAGAAGAACCACACTTTCTTCCCGTGGACAGATGAGCATGAGCATGGCAGGCATGCAGGTGACACAGCCATTTTCAACCAAGAGGGGACCCGGTCATGGGTGATATCATTTGAGCTGCTGGGTCAAGCAGAATCTTAATAGTTCTAGAGTTTTCGGTTACATGAGCCAAAATACCACCTTTGTTGTATGAACCAATTAGTGTGGAGTTTTCTTTAACTTGTAACATAAATGCCCCTGAATGACATAAACGATAAGTAAGACGCTGAAGATGTTAGCAGTAGGAAAAGAAAAAGAGAAAAGCAGGGGTGAGTATGTGTGCACACACACACGATTTTACATAAGTAATTTTCCATGACTTAGAAGTTTAAAACTTTTCTCTAACAAGTATAAACATATCAAATCATGTCAATAGTGAAAGTAATGATGCCATTGATAACATTTTCGCCTCAATCAAGAGGAGAGAGCTGAAATGACCTGCATGTCTGCTTTGATGGGATAGCTGCTCTTGTTTCTGGTCACTGATTTAATATTGGTTTGTCCATCATAGCTACAAGCTGAGACTCTGTGAAGGACCCATGTCTGAGTGGTGGCTGTGTGAGGAAGGGGAGCAGGTCTGAGGGGGGGAGGGGCCTTGGATTTTATGAAGGAGAGAGCTGAGGAACACAGAAGGCCCATCACTGTGAACTCTTTGGGCCTGCCTTACGCACCATCATCTGGAGAAATGCTCCCACCACAGCCCTAGGTATCAGGGAGGATATTCCCATTATCAGTTCATCTGACTCTGTCCTCAGCATTTAGAAGAGTTCTAGGGAAAAGTCAGACAGTAACTCAGAGCTGAATTAGGAAGGCCTTGGAGATGAAGGAAAATGATAGTGGTAGTTGGTGTGCAGTAGTTTAATTCTGTGCACAGACAAACCTGAATAAAAATATTTCTTTGCCTAGTCTTTGAAGGCAGGAATCACAAATCATGAGTTTTAAAACCATTGTACAGACATATGTCAAATAGGAGTTTAAAACTACTCGTAACTATATATTAAACAGCTATACTTAGAATACCATTTCTTTAAATTTAGCTAGTCTTATTAAAAAAAAATTGAACTGCCAATCTGAACACACTTTCATTGTTTTACAGAAGACCTCAGGTGTCTCCCTCTTGTAAGGCAGCCTTGGGAACAAGAACCAACATGAGCCTTCATCTTAGGGAGCTACGCATAGACAATGCAGAAACCGTCCCTAATTACTGCTCACTATGACCTGAGGACTGTCTCGCTTGCCACTGCTTCTCCTAAAAATTTGGGAACAGGCTGAATTGAAAGAGAGAGATAGGTGGCCTGACTAGAGCAATTAATATCTCTACGTAGTTTTCTCTCAGAATTAAAGAGAAAGGAAAATAAAATCACAAACAAGCGACCTATGAATGTGCAAATTTCACAATTAGACTTTGGAAACAAGCATTTCATCTAAGTCAGACAGTTTGGCAAACAGGTGACCACCTATTTCACGAGCATACTGTTTTATTTCAGGCCCCTACCCCAACCCCAGCAGGCAACAGTGCCCAGTGTGCCCAGGTGGCATAAACAGTTCCCGGTCAGCTGTGTAGGGAGGCACTTACCTGGAATGAGAAGAGATTTCGCTGAGGTCGCCCATGCTGCCGTCGGCAGCACTGCTGGCAGAGATGGCGGGCGCATAGCTGTGTACCGCGTACATCTTCGGCTGCTCGTCATCAGGCCCCGAGATGTCGGCAGAGTCAGCCCACTGTTCTGCCCGACTGTGGATCATAGACCTACTGCCTGCCAGGTGCACGGGCCCGAGGACTGCGGTGGGCATGCACGGGGCCGTGTCGATGCCACTGTCAGTGGAGGCCCCTTTGATGTAGGTCAGCCCCAGCAATTCTGGGTCCATCAGGTCCCCAGACCCAAAGTGCTTGTCGTCACTGTTGCTGGAGGTGTTACTGGAGAGCGTATTGCTGCTGGAGTGGCTGGAGCAACTTTTATCTCCAATCTTGGGGAGAAAGAGAAACAGAAAGGCTTCAAAGGAATCCCATACTTTGCTTCTCTATGAAGACGATTATTTTCACCCAAACTCACAAAGCTACAAACCAGATGATCTCAGCTGAACCCTTTTTACTCATTCTTCCATGTGAGGCAGTGACAGAATTTACTTTTAAAAAAAAATCCTGGTTTTATGCAAAAGTTCCTGATTCATAATTCCTACCATAATTCATGGGAATCTTTTCAAGTCTTTGTTCAATTATTTGTGCATGAAGCACTAAAGTATTGCCACAGTGTCACCAACCAGAAAATAATCAACGAAGGTTATATAAACTGGGAAAGCACATGGAAAATTAATAAAAGGAGGAAAGCAGCCTTTTATCAAGAAACTTCTTCTATGACAAATTACAGTGCCAGTTCTGGGTTTGGGGCAAAGGACCCAGGTTTGAATCACAGTGGTAGGACTTTGACCAGTCACTTAGCCCCTCTCTGTGCTTATAATACTAAGCTCGGATGATTAATGTGCGGACCCAACGAGATAATATATGCAGAAGCACTCTGTAGCGGCAGCGCACAATGTAAGTCTGAGTGATTTCTCCAGGACAGCCCAAGTCAGAGTATGCCCAAGTGCTAACAAAATGGGGCTCTCTTTGGAGTCAACAGGAGTGCTTTGGGGTCCCTGGAGGACAAAGAGTAAAGAGAACAGAATAAATGTCCCCATCTGACTGTTGTGCTCATACAGACACAGCCCCTCTTCACATCCTGAAAACTAACAAGACTTGAAGCAGCAGCAAAAGGCTGTGGAACCATAAGAACAAGTCATGGCTTCATCTATTGTAAAGTGGTTTGGCCATGTCTTCTTTCATTCCATTCTATCAGATCCTTAAGCAAATCCCCTTGACCTTTTTATCACACACTGATGTTCTCAAGTCTACTCCCACCCCCTGCATCCCTTTGCTTAAACCACTGTTAGAGATTTATAAAGGTGGCATTAAGTGGATACTGTACGGCTGACTCTAGACAAGGTCCAGACACAGCTAAGAGAAGGAACGTCACATGTAGCTCACCAATGACACAGGAAGGAAAAGGAAAAAAAAGTCAAGAACTTATAAAATTTCTTTATCTGTAAATTTTCAAAAATAAGCTAATTTAAAATGTTGGCTTTACTTGGCAATGACCAGAAATTCACGTTTTCACGTTTAACTGAATGTTTTGTTTCATTGAGCTACAGTCGCCTGTAAGGCTCACCTCTAGGGTTTTTGCAAAGAGTGAACAAAATCACACGTGCAAATGACCAAGAACACCATGCCAAGGGGGCGTTCATGGAACGGCACACACACGTTAGCTTCTGCTGCTCTGACGATGAGTCATGGGTAACTGCGCACAGGAGTGGCCAGTGATGGGCAGAGTGTCTCTGACCACACACACCACTTCACAGTTTCCGTTTCTGTATTATGTCCACAAGTGGATAAATGGTTAACATTAAAAATAGGAACATGATTTAGTAACTATTACATTGGATATCAAGGATCAGAAGGCTGAGGATACAATGTTGGCTTTGCCAGTAATTTACTGTGTGACATTTCTTTGAGGTTCTTTATAAATCAAGCAGGAAAAAAACCTTAACTTTTTATTTATTTATTTTTTTACCAAACCTCTAACAGACCTGTGAGGTATATGAGGTGCCACTGAGAATCCCCGGCAATAATACTAATAAGCGACATGTGCTGACATGCCTCAGAAGGGCTAAACGAGCGATTGGTTTATGAACAAGGACTTACATGAGAAAGCTTATTGGGGGAATCTTTGCAGCTTCCATCTTTCTGCAGGGCTCTTTCTTTATAGGAACTCAGGACTTTGGAAGGCGGGCCATGCCATTTGGTTTCTGTCACATAAAGAGAGAAGAACTGAATATCTAACTTCTAGGGTTAACAAAAGAGCAAAGAAACACAGGAGCCAACAAATGGTTTGGTAAAAATGAACAGGATTGTGGTTCTAGGACTTTCTGGTCCTACCAACGGATACACCGTAAGAGCAGGCAGAACAACCACCATAAAGTTAATGCTCCATGTCCACAGGCATCACAACCACAACCAACCATGACCACGTCCCCTATGTCATTGGGAGACCCAGGCCACCACCTCAGCGTGTTGCACGGTAGTGCTCACCAAACATGCGTTGAAGGAACAGCTAATGAACGAACAACTAAACGAGTGATGGGAGAGGACGGGGAGTAGGGGGGAAGGAGTGGGAAGGAAGGTGGAGTTTCTTATTACCCGGGTGCCTGCTTCCTTCCATGGTGTCCTCCCGCTCCCTGGCTCCTTCACACTCCAAAGGGCCTGAGCCCTGGTGCTCAAGCAGCAGGGGAGACTGGCACCTGCAAAGAACACAGAGCTGAGCCCCGGCCTGCTCACCACGCCATGCCACCAGCATGTCCCCTGTATGTGCTGGCTCCTAATGGGCAATTGAAGGGGTACCCCTAATCAGAAGCTGCTTCTGGCAGATGGAAATGCAGTATCTGTTGGCCAACCCTGCCAGAGAAGCTTCAAGCCTCTGGAACTGGGGGCTCTAGTTTCACCACTGGGTCAATAAAGGCACTTGGATGACGGCCATTTACAGATAAAGAAGGGCCCTCGATGCTAGGAGGTGAAAGACTGTCCAGGGTTAGATAACGTGTCCCCGGGAAGCTAAGGAGGAGCTCCCTGCTTCTGTCTTTTTGTTTTGTCTTGTGTGCCAGAATACATGGCACTGATACCTCTTTGTATCAAATTTTTTAAGGAAAAGAAAATAAGACTGATTGGTTCTAGACTACATCTAGGTGGACTGTATTTTATGAAAACCCAAAGTATGACAATATAAACTTACAGAAGAAATAAGTCACAGAAAACTTATACAAATTACAAAGTGATCCTTACTTACAGAACCCCAGTTACAAGTCCTGGTTTGCAGAAAAAGCCACGAATCGTTTTTCCATTGATACAAAAAACTCCCCCCTACTTTTAAAATGCAACTCAATTAAGAAGTCTCTTTATATACAATTTTTAAGAACTCCATCCGTTATCTAAGGTAGGGAACACATGTAACCTAGACTGCAAATATCTACTTCTAAGCCTCAACTAGAAGGAAAGAGGATTCCAGGGAGAGCGTTTCCCTCCGTCCATGTGAGAGCAGTAACAGAAAGCTTCTCTTCTCCCGGTGAAATCCCTAAAAACAGCAGAGGCAAGATGTGGTTGCAACACACGGGAACACTGCTGCCCGGAGCAGCCCCACCTTCCTCTCCTCGGGAGACCATGACTGCACATCCTCGCCCTCCACTTCTCCAGAGTGTGTATGTTCTCCCTGAGTTATTTTATCAGTCAATTCAGCGTCTCGGTGTTCCCAAGGGTCCCCCAGCTCCACCTGACCCATTAGCTCCTGGACACCCTGCATACACACTACAAGGGACGGTCCCCAGCCCAGCGTGTGAGGCAACCTTCCGCTGCTCTAAAACAGGAGGCAGAAAAAGCCATGTCAAATGGTAAACCTGCCTTCTCTGACTCTGGGCTGTGTTCTGGAGAAAAAGCACTTTCAAGAAAGGCTGTGAATTTATTCCTCGTCAGCAATTTAAGTGAGGGGAAAACTCCCAAGGGCCATTGCCCATAGAGTCCCCAAATCCTTAATTTTCACACATTCAGAGAGACTTTCCTCATTAAAAAGAAAAAATAGACAAGCTCAGAGTTTAGACAAATAAGCAGTACCTACATAGAAATGATGAGCTTTCTGGCCTGGACAAGTGACTTATTAAAAGCCTGGCTGGTATTTTTATATCCCCCAATGGCCTCGTGTACAGCAGGTGCGCAGTCAATGTTTCTGAATGAGTCACTGAAACAAGTCCCTCCCAGGGGTCAGCAGTAAGGTAAAAATGAGTGGTACCCATCATATCCCACTGGCGGTCTCCAGGGTCCACTCCCGCCGGGTCCGGGGTCGCTGGAGGATGACTGGTTGCTAGGTGAACTTCTGAAATGGTGACTAGAATCATTAACAGGGCACTGAGGTACCTGTGGAGTATCAACATCTTGACCTGGCCTGTTTTGTTTTACAAATGAATTCATTTTTACAATGGCAAAGAAAAGGAAGAACTGCACATTGCAATGTGAAACAGAATAAATCATGGACAAATAGACTAAGTATTGGTGATGCTATGAGATATCAGGGGGTTATGGCTGGCAATTTATTATAGGAAAGAGATGTGGCAGGAACAAGATTTCACCATCTAAAGATTTAAAGCACAATAATGATTCCAGTGTAATAAGGAAGAACAGCAATAGAGCCCCCAAGAATACAGAATTATGAAAACGTTACCACTACTTGTTCTATGAAACTTAATGCAAGTCACGTTTTGGTTCTATATTTAAAACCTATGCAGAGAGAAACCCTAAATTTGGCAAAATCAATTATTTTCACACATCTATTGAATGCAATCCTATTTATTTCAGACACCCAAAAATAAATAAATTCTCATGAGAACTCACTTGATGAAGACGTGCTTGCCATATTTCCATTTTGCTACTAGAACCCTCCTGGTTTTTTCCCTAGAATTTACTAAATTCTACTTTCATAAGAGAGGTTCTACAGACCCTTCCTGATGTCGCCCCGTTTACCTGGGCTACCTATGTGCATTTCTTTGAATATGGAGAGTTTATAAACTCAGCAGACTGTTGAGTAAGGAAACCCAGAGCCAAGATGATTTAATGTCAATTTAAAGTTAACACCATTCGTGCATTCACTTCGGAAAGAATAAACTGAGGAAGACCACATGTTTTGATCTTATTAACTAATTAATTATTAATACCTATACAGGTTTACTATGTGCCAGGAATGGTTCTAAGCAGTTTACATATATTGATTGATTCAATCCTCACAATGCCTCAAAGAGGTCCCTATTATTACTAAGTTTATATCTCAGATGAGGAAACTGGAGGCTGGGAGAGAATGAGTGACAGGCCAAAGATAACGCTACACCAGTGAGCAGCTGGCTCAGCATCCACGCTGACAACGCTCTAGGAGACCAGAGCCTGACAAGCCATTCTGAGGAAACTCATGCTGCCTGCATGGCCCATAAGTTATGTGAAAGCTAAAATAAAAGGAGCAGGAATGAACAACAGTAACAAAATAAATCTACTCTTTTGTTCACTTAAAACTACCTATGCGAATTATGCATCCAAAAATCCTCACCAGCTTCTGATGCTATTGAATTTATCTTTTAAACAAGTGCATTCGCTCACTGAAAAATTAATTTGAAACTTAACTCACCTTGCTTAAAATGAGAGAGAAAAGCAAAGCAATGCTAATGGCCTTGGAACCTCTTAAAATACTAGCACATTAGGGTGATGGGATTTAATCACTGATTTTGCAATTTTGTTTTATTTATACTCAAAACTGTTCACACATATCTAGAGGCTCATGCAGAACAGTTTCTCAGGTATCTTTCCCAAGATGGGTTAGACAGCCAGTTGACCAGGAGGATCACGGATGCCGAGGGAAAGCTGTGGCCCTGGTGGGCAGCACCCACGGGCAGGACCTGAGTGTTACCAGCACTGGGGCTGGGCAGGAGCAGGCCACCTCCAAGCTCCACTGCATCTGGGGCCTGCTCTGCCGCCCTGCCTGCCAACCTGTTCAGACCAAGCTACCTCAGAAAAGATGAAGCCCAATAAAAAGTCCCTCCCCTACCATTTGGAGATCTAACCCCAGAGCTTTGCAAGAGCCATCCTTGAGGAAAGGACACCAGCTTTACCTCGTGCCATCGGGCAGCTTCCGGTCGAAGGAGGTGCTGCGGGGAATGGCGGCCTGGGCCTGCTGGAGCAGCTGCTGGCACTGCAGCCGATCGGGCGTGCCGGGGACGGGCGAGGCCCTGGACAGGGGCTGCAGGGCAGGGGTGGGCACGCGGTGCCACGTAGTGTTCCTCCGGAAGGGGGTTTTGTACTCGCAGGGGGTGCCTTCACTGTCGAGTTTGTATTCCACCATGGGGATCCGGCAGAGCTCTGAACACCCTCTGTGGGGCCGAGAAGAGATGGTAAGAAGGCAGGCTCAGTGCTGGGCCATCAGCACAGCTTACTCGTTGCCGTGCGTGTGCTTCTCTGGGCTCACAGACGATGACACAGAGCCGTCCAACCCTAGGAGCTCCCTGGCTTTTGATGACCTTGTCTATTTATGATCTAGCATGGATCAGTAGGATCCAGTATCACGCTTGTGGCTCTACTTAATTGACAGATATTGCTGTTAAGTCTTTCATGCATATATTCTGTCTCTCCAGGTAGTTTGCAAACTTCTTAGACAGACTTGAATATATCTATTAACCAATTTGCATACGTGGAATCATGCACATTAAACATGGGCAATAAACAAACTTTAATAGATTAAAAATGCCTCATATATAATCTTAAGAGATATTTTAAAGTACAGTTATATAATTAGGAATGAAAGTCACATGTCATTTTTTCTATTGAGTCTGAAAAAAGTAAAAAACAAAATTAGTAAAAGCTGTCACAGTCAAGGGAAAACCTGAGTGTCTACCCTGTCAAAGTCAAGTGTGGTTTTTAGTTACTATAGTCACTTTCTTAGACTAGCCTTACAGCTCCCGAAAAGGTCATCTAGAGTGCTCTCCATGTGCTCAAATGATCAGTCAGGCATGTAAGGCCCTTTAGTCTGAAAAATATGATTTAAGTCAGACATCCCTCCAGTTTCCCACTACACAGTGCAAATAGTACTATTAACTCGACCAACGTTAGCCTGCGAGGCCAACTGGTACAGTTCGGCAAGGACACAGGGAGACTGGGTAAGTTTCAAATTTGAGTGTCAGGGCAAATCACCCCAATTCACCACGTTGATCAAGACAGTGCCTCTCTCTAGACATTCCAGAGTCAACATAAAAACTTGCTACTAGTTATCCTTCGAGAAATCTACTATGATAAGGTACTGCTCTTTAAGAAGTAGACTTCCATTCTCAAGACAGTAAAGTAAAACTTTTCAGCCTCTTTTCAAAATCATAACAAAAGAACAAAGAGAAAAAGAAACAGAAAGAAACTTGAACATCAGCAAAACGTGGAGACACCTGAAACTCTAAAAGACAGTATACAAAGATGGAGAGCAAAATGGAAGAATGCCAGTGGTTTAGCAGAGCAGAGGAAGGCAAAACCCAAGGGTGTGCAGAGGGAAAGACAAGGAGAAGCAAGACCAGTCCCCTTGCACAACCCTGAACAGGCGTGGAAACAGGAAGCACCAGGCCCTGCAGAAGGCAAAAGGGAGAGAGAAGGCTTAGGAGAGTGGGCTTGTTTAGAAAGGAGTGAACACAGAAAAGTTCCACCCTGGGGTCCCTATGGCATGGGGCCCAGTCAGGCTATAAACCCTCCCTACCTCTAGGGGGTGCGAGCAACAATCGAGGGAACTCAACCGGAAAGGTCTAGACTCAAGGCCAAGAGGCACAGAGGACAGCAGGCTCAAAACCAACGGCTAAGTCAAAGTCTGACTGGAAATGAGACCCAGAGTCACTTCTCCTCCCCACAAACCCAGCTTCAGAATGCTGTCACCCCACAAAGACAAACGCTGGTCTTTATCTAGAGGAAAGACAAGCAGATGGAAGCCACCCAATCACTCTGCAGTGAGGCTCACCAACTGTATCCTCAGAGAAGAAAAAGGAACTTTGAAATTTAAAAATAAGATAGCTAAAATTCAAAATGAAAAATCCAGTAAGACAGTTGGGAGATGAACTCAGGAACTCTCCCAAAAGGCATAGGAGAGCAAACATAAGAAAATTAAAGTTCAATCCAGAAATTCTAACATCCACTCAACAGAAGTACCAGAAAGAGAAGAGAGAGAACAAGGTGGGGAGGAAATGATTGAGAAATAACACAAGAAAAATTCAAGAACTAAAAGATACGTAAAACCAGACTAAAAGGTCCACAGAGTGCCTAGTACAATGCATGGAAAAGGTCTACATCAAGATACGTCAATGTGGAACTCAGACTTCCAGGTCAAGGAAGAGATCTTAAATATCTGATGGGGAGAAGATGTGGGGGACAAAGGACACACAGAGGACTGGTACACACAGAACTCCATTCTTCTCACCAGCAATACTAGAGGAAAATTATTTCTCACCTGTTAAATCAAGAGTACGTGGAGCTTGGGATGGAGAAAGACGTAAAAACCAAAAACTACATCCTGCTTTTGGGCTTGGGAAACCAAATGGATGGTGGTGCTGCCCCTTGGGAACAGAGGAGGAATGACTGAATAAACCATCCTAGAGAGATACTTATGCCTGTTTACGGAGGATGATGAGGTAGTGATGATCTGTTTGTTAATAAACTTTATGTCTTTTGTTTTAACTCTCCTTCCCCCAAAGCAAAATTCATCTCCTTTAACTAGGCAAATTTAGATTACTGTGGATTTACTGAATGTGTTAGTTAAATTATTGGCCAAATTTAGTAAGTCCAGATTTACACTGGACTGCATTATTTTTTTTTTCTTGTAAAATGCCCAGGCTCTACAATTTTTACTGACGGACTTAAATTGTTTCCAAGTGTTTTCCTATTTAACTAGATACCACATCCTCTGGAACTACTGATTTCAGCATATGACCAATGACCTAATTAGAAACCATAAAGGTGGGATATTACAGTAGGTATCAAAACATCAAGAAAATCCACTCTGTCTTCCACCCTAATCCAGGCTCTAGGCAAGTCACTGGATGCTGACATGAACCCCAGGCTTTGGTGTCTCAAAGGCTGCAGCTGCCCAAATAGCGCAAGCCAGGGAATCTTGAACGGAGACCTTCCAAAGTTAAAGGTCCTGGAGTTATATTTTGAATGAAAGGAACGTGAACCTTGAATCTTGTGGACCAAAGGGCAACATGTATTTCCAGTGCTGGTTTGGGTTTCAAGTTTACTGGGTTTGGTTTAAAAGGAAGACTAAGGAAAGAGAAGACAGGTGGCTGAGTAGTGTGGTATAGTTAGTTCATGCTCATAGCTTGTTGTCTTTAATAAGGTGAGTAATTTAGCTTGAGTCTTCAAAAAGAAGTTATAAATGTGGGTAATCATGACTAATATTTGAGAGAGTGCTGACAGAAACTTGTGCAATGCATTAGGGTGAGGAGAGAATCGAGGTGGGATTATTTCATCTCCACCTCTTACACAGTCATATGTAAATGATCTTTTAATGCTAAAAATTGGTGTTCTTTTGCCCTAATAAAAATCTGCTATTCTCAAAAGAATGGTTTTATTTTAAAATCAAAATTAATGTTGGTATTATGTGACACTTTTACAGCAACTACTCTTATAAACAAGATTTTTGCTTTTTTACTTCTATGACTAAGACATCAAATAAATAGCCCTAATTATAACATATCATCAAACCTCGTCAACCTTAGTTCTGCTCCACATCTATGAGGAATTCCTTGAGGAATACATATAGCAAATTCAACCAATTTTTAGGGGAATGTAAGAATTAAAAATTAGCCTACAGAGGTCCTCATGCTGCAGCGTGTACCAGAAACGGATCTGCACCTGCCCTTGCAGGCACGGCTTTCTCCTCCTTGGGTGGTTCTAGCACAGACACCAGGCAAAATATCCTGGTTCTTCCAGAGCATCAAAACCGGTGCCGCTGTGAAGGGGTACACAGCAAATACTGCTGACCAATAAGTAAAAGCCAACTGAAACCCAAACTGACCAAACACAAAAAGACCTAGCACAAAAAGACATTTCCAAAAAAGTGGGCTGCTAATCTTGTGTGAATAGAAACATTTTTGAAGAAAAGACTTCATCTTTTTCTCTCCTGCATTAGTGTACAAAGTCAGACCTCACTGATAAATGTGCTCAGCTTTCTTCTGACACACCAGACCAAGTGAACGGATGTGAACTGCATTTCTAGCTTCTAGCACGCTCTTCACAGTTTGCTCGCCAAAAGGAGATACTCCAAGATGTTAGATAAGGCTGTGGGATCACCTAACATGTAAGTGTATCGACTTGCTCTTTGCTCAGTAACAAACGTACATGTCATCTACTTATGCTTCTAATTAACATGCTAGGTAGAGATCAATAAAAACTCAGCTTCAGGGTTAAAAATAAATACAATCTTTAACACTGCTTGTCTAGCCAGTAACTTTTCTGAGTCCAATCTCTCTCAGTAGTATATCCTGGAAGGCAAAATATTTTGTAGAACAAGAAGGTCATAAAAAATGTGCTAGTTAAAATGTGACATTACAAAACCGTAAGAATGACAAGTAGTTCTATTAGTTGGAGCCCTCAGAGGATCGTACATTTTACTACTTTATTCTGAAAAACAATACTACTTGTCCCTCTGAGCTTAGCGTTGTGAACTTCCTGGGATGCCCTATTCCTGTGCATGGGACACTCATTAACTTACTCATATCCACGTTCATCAGCGCTCCCCCTGCTTCCTGCTGCCTAAAGCAGGGTTTCCCACCAACAGATTTCTACATCTACAGCTGCTACCACTTCCCGGCTTCTGGGCAGGGCCAGCACACAGGTGGTGTCCACTCTGGTTCACAGGCGACAGGTACCCGCACTTGCTGCCCAGCACTGTACCTATGCACCCCTAACTTCAGAGACACCCAGCCAGGTCCCCAACATGGCATCTACCCACACAGGCCCATTCCTTTCAAATGACACCTCTAGTTTCCTCAGAGAACCCTCCATTTACCATCAATAGTTAGGGCCCTTGAAAGTAGAATCCCTGCTGGCCACGCTATGGACTCAGTTCTAAAGGCTCGCTTCAGCCTTCGCAGCCTGACCATCAGGACCATCACTGTTCGAGCCCAGCCAAGTGATACAGTTTTCTCTATTCATTCTCAGCAGGAACCCTCTACATCAATCAAACTATTCTCCATTAAAGACAGAGTTTGGGCTCTGTTCTCAAAACCCAGACCTGCCAGTGTGTAACTTAGAAATGGGACAATCTCTTTGGACCCATGTTTCTCCTCCTGTAAATGAACTCGTAAGAGCATAGGGTATGTCAAGATGCAATCATGCGAAATACGTA